ATAACTATCCTAAGGGTGTAACGAAGAAGTTTCCATAATAGGAGCAGCTAAGAGGGGACCGTTTGCCGTGGTGATTGGTGCTGGGCCAGCAACTTCCCTGTTATCTCATTGGATGAGCCTTGATCTCCACTCAGGAGGCCACAGGATAGTCACTTGAGCTTTGAAATCCAGCATGGAGTCTTCCTTAAAGTCCACACACTAAGATTAATGCTCCAAGGGCCCTCCAGCCTGTACAGTTGCTGCCAGTCCCTCCTGGAGTTTAGTCTGGCATCTCTCTGTGTGATTGGCAAAGGGATGCCTTGCCTTTTAAAACACTTAATGAAAGCTTTATATATGCTCATTCAGGAAAAATTGGAAAAATGACAAGAGTCTGAGCAGAGAGATCTTCATCTGGATACATTCAGTGTTAGGGTTTCATGTGTTTCTGTCAGAGCCTTTGGACAATAATGTAATCATAGTATTAAGATTTTAAATCCCGCTCTCCTTTATTGTTCCATCAGAAACATTTTCCTGTAACCTGAAAAGCTCTTTGGAATGTTGAGAGTGATCTTTCTCAAACTTAAGTCCAACGTTACTCTCCTACTTAATTGCCCCAGACAGGCTCTTTAAGATGTCATCTGTGTGTCTCCAGGATCAGACGTCATTCCTTGTGAAGTCAGTTCTTCCTTCTCTGGTTCCCACCCGCCCCTGATCTCCAGCACCCCTCCCCAGTCACTAGAGCATGAACGCACGTACGCATGTGCGCGTGCACACACACACACGCATGTGCCACTCACTAGCACGATCTTCTGTCCATCCATCTGCACCTACATCCAATTCTACCTGCTGCAGGTTTGTAGCTCATCCCATGTGATTCCACTCCATGACCTTTCTCACAGTGCAGTCCCTCCCAGGAATGCTCTTCCGTTGCTATATCCAGCGAAGTCTTCACCCTCCCAATTAATATCTCAGAACATCCAGCCCTTCACATCCTTGTGTTTCTCTTCTGTGGCTTCACCCAAGCTCAGATCAGAAATCTTTGGGGAAAAATGGCATCTGCACTGAACATGTATTGACTTTTTTTTTCTTGTCACTGGTCCCCAAGGAAGACAGTGTAACAATCGTTACATGGCATTTACATTACATTTTATACTAAAAATAATACAGAAATTAGTTAACTATATAGGAGAATGAATGTAAGTTATATGAAAACACTAAGCCATTTTATAAGGGACTTGAGCATCCCTGAATCTGGGGACCCCTGGGGAGTCTGGGCCTTTTCCATGAAGTCCTTCTCTGCTCTCTCCCTCCCGCTCTGGAGCCGCCTGGCCCTTTTGCTCTCCTCCATGTCCTTCTGTCAGCACACCCAATGTGCGGTAGATCATACAGGTCCGAGACTGCTATTCAGCCTCATTTCTCCAGTGTTTTCAGGTAGTCAGTCTTTAATATCGTAGATGCTTGATTGCTTTTGTTTTTGTACAAATAAGGCATTGATTGTCATACTGCGTGATGAGGGGTGAGCAGGGAGCAGAGCGAGGGCATGTGCCCCAAGACCTAGGGACTGGGGCACGTGTTCACTTCACCGGGACAGTGGCCTTCCTCTGTTGTAAGTCACCTATTTGAATCCTCTTTGCATTTCTAGCCCCTAACCTTGGATTAGCCTTTGGAACTTATATTGTTCCTTCCTTGTTCACTTCTCTTTTATCTGCTGGATGCTGTGGCCCTGAACCACAGGTGGGGCAGAAGTTTTGACTACAGGGACAAACTGGCAACCACTGTCTCTTTCCTCCTGGGGACAGCACTGATGACAAGTTACCCTGGTGGCCCTAGGCTGGATGCCTGTATCCAACTTTAGCACAGGCAGCTGGGTCCTCACAGGGGGTCACTCTGGAATTACTATAAGCAGGAGAGCCAGCTCCCTCGTTCCAGGCAGGCTGCCCAGCATAAGAACTAGGTCAGGTCCTTTATTTCCCTGTCACTGTGACACTCTCCTGACTGGCCCAGAGTCCTCTCCAAGAGATAGCCGGGCTTCTTTGCTCAAACAAAGTCAAGAGGGAAAGGTGGATATTCCCGTGTGGCACACTGAGCTCCTTAGAGGCCCTTCACTCTGTAGACAGATTGGACCATGCCATGCTGATTGTGCCATGCACCCTGGAGACAGCGGCCTGCTTGCTGGCCCTGACACTCGCCTTCCCACCAGCCTACAGGCCGCAGAACAAAGGCCACAACAGGACAGTGAGAGAGATGGGAAGTAAAAGACACTAATCAGATCCGTCCCCAGCTGGGTCCATCTGTGTTGGAGCCTGTCTCTGGTGATGGCACAGGGGACTTGTACTGGAAGGCTGCCTGTCCACTGGCTTTTCGGTCCTCAGCACCAGACATTCTAATTTCCTTAATAGCAGGTTACGAATCCTGTGTCTATAAATGTAGCTCAACCCTTCTCGACCTTTCTTTATTTTTAGCCTATACTGCTACTCTGGATATAACAGCATCCACGGTTGATTACTTGTTCTGTAAACACCTTTATGTCAAGTGGAAAGTAGTTGTCTCTCTCTCAAGTTGGAAGACATCATTGGTACTTTTAATTCTAGGGTTGGCAACAGATTCATGTTTGATCTTTGGCATAGTCTACCAATTCGGGGAGTCGGGGAGAAGGCCGATGTCACTGTTCAACATTAAGTTTGAAGACTCAAGTCTTAATATTCTCCATCTTTTCTCCTACTGGGTACCGCATTTGCTTTGTCTCGTCTCCCTGGAATGTTCTTTCCTGCCTCTGTTTGGCTTCTGTTGACATACAGCAGCTGAGAGAACTGGTGATGGATGCTCCCAAGTGCAGACCAGCCACAGCCTTTGTTCTACCACCTCTGCACTTTGCATTCTTTGATCTCTGTGACTTGTGTCTTAGGCCTGGTGTTTCCAAATACTAAATGAAGCCATTAGAAACCATAGGGGCTGGCATAGTCAGGCGCCTTGGGTAGCTGGCATGAGTCTTTCGTGCTTGTATTATAGATGCCCACCTCTATCTTGATCTCTAGGATTGCTGTCTCTCTGCATTGCTTCTACCAATCCCCAGAACCAAATGCTTAGTGTCACTGAGTGGTCTTTTTGCCCAGGGTACTTGCATTACATACAGCCCAGCTCTCGGGCTCAGGGAAAACTGCAGAAGAGGGGTTGGAAAGAATGGAAGGGTAGGAAGACGGGGTGGGATCTTGCAGAACCTTGTCTTCTAGACATGGCGTGGCTCTTGTACCCATGAATTCAAAGCAACTATGGCTGTCTGACAAGACTGTGGTGGGCTATTTGTATACTGTGTGAAGATGTATTGCTGTGTAATAAAAAGCTGAATAGCCAATATGTAGGCAGGAGGTATAGGCGGGACTTCTGTAGAGGGAAAGGAAGAAGAGGAGATAATCAAAAGGCAGAGGAGTTACCAATGAGACATGGAGGGAGTCAGACATACAGAATGAAAGAAATGTAAAAAGCCACATGGTAAAACATATTTTAGGGCTGGAGAGATGGCTCAGCAGTTAAAAGCATTGTGTGCTCTTCCAAAGGACACGAGTTCGATTCCCAGCAGCCACATGGTGGCTCACAACCATCTGTAATGAGGTCTGGTGTCCTCTTCTAGCCTGCAGGCATATATGCAAACAGAATATTGTATCTATAATAAATAAATAAATATTTAAAAAAAACAAAAAAACATATTTTAGTAAGATCAAGTTAATTTAAATTATAAGAGCTAGCGGGACAATCCTAAGCTAAGACTGAACTTTCATAATTAATAATAATTCTCTATGTCGTCATTTGTGAGTTGGCATCTCAAAGAAAAATCCGACTACACAAGACCTGTACAGAATTAGACCCAGCAACATTTCATCATGAAGGGGAAAGGACTCCTAAGCCCCTGTCCTCAACAGCTATTAACAGTTAGTTGGGGGAGATGTCACTTTCTTCAGTGGTGTAGCCACTGCTGAGTTGCTTATACTCAAATAAATAACCTCCCACCCTTTCTCATGAGACAGCCCTATTTCTTTGCCACACTCAGAGATGAGAAGAGTTTTAACTAGAGAAGTGGGGGGATGAAATGGGGTAATGGGCAGTGAAAAGAGCTAAAATTTATTGCATATATGTCTGCCAAAATTAATTTTAAAAAATCTTCATGTCTGCCAAAATTAATTTTAAAAAATCTTCAAAGACCTATATGATGAGATCCTAAATATACATTAAGCAAGTAAGCTTAATACATTAAAATATGAGTTTGGCCCCAGAGAGTATGTTCCTACTGCCAGTTACAACTTGAGTATGTACGGTTTGAGTATGTCACTGTTACCAGTGCCAGCCACAGAGAGAGACTCACCTGTGCGGCACTTGGAACTTTTCCTGGAGTTTGTACAAGTATCATCTCTGTTCCTTAAAAGTTTGCTAAAATGGAGAATCTGATCTGAAAACCCAGAGACTCACAAGACAGTTTCATGTCCCTTGCAAGAGTACACTGTGCCCATCAGACCTGGAGCTAGACCTCAGGTTCCTTATCTCAGCTGCTTCTAGAGCACTATATTAATCTATTTCCTGATTTTTTTTATTAGTTAAGTAGCACCTTGGTTAACAGAAATGAGGATTACTAAAAGAAAGCTCTTGTTAAATAACCTTAACAAAGATGTTTTTAGAAAAGGCCACCACCGCTGGCTCTTTCTTGACTGCATCTCGTTGTCTTCTACCAAAGTACTGCCACGTATGTAACAAAGTATGATTCCCACCACCTAGCCCTGTCACTTCCTTTTGCGTCTCAATTTGCATAAAATGGTCCTACTACTGGTTTCCCTTTCCCATGCCATATTTGGTTTAGAATCCCAGTGGTTAGCTTTCCTGCTGGAGCCCTCGCCCAGAGATAAGTCGCCATGACAATTTCATTATGTCTGGGCAGTTGGCGGCATACGGATACTCTGTGTACTGGACAGACACGGAGCTTGCAAATAACTCACCAGAGCTCGCTCTGAGGCTGTTTATCCTTCTCTCTTTAGACTCTGGAAGGAGGCTCTTATCGCGGGAGCTTGAAGGACCCCACAGGCTGCCTGAATGAGGGGATGACCCCTCCCACACCTCCTAGAAACCTGGAAGAAGAACAGAAAGCCAAGGCTCTGAGAGGCAGAATGTAAGTGACTCTCTACCCCACCCTGGTACATGTGTGTGCTGAGCAGCAGCCAAGGGGTCCTATGCTGTCTGCCTGCTACTCTCATCCTTTCTAGAAGATGACCAGGTCTGTACAGTGCATCACTGATATCAGCAAGCCACTTTGAAGAATAATAATTATTATTCATCTTAATGAAGCTTGGGCTGGAGGTATATTCTGTGATATAGCTGTTACTGACAAGTGTGGTTATAACCAAGATCTAATACAACTATAAAACATGTTGAAAGAAAATAGGGTTCAGAGAACTGGGGGAGTTACCATGGGTCTGCAGTACCAGAGAGTCCCTGACTGTGACAGAGGTCAGGATGGTCTGAAGAGATGTCCCCCGGGTTCAGTAGGTAAGAGACACATAGGAGAGGCTCTCTGCCTGGTGGGGCCCATTTCTGCTGCTTCTCCCTGGGCTTCACATCCATTTGTAGGTTTCGTTCTGCAAGAACCTCCTGTGCTTTCAATGACTAGTGGTAAGATACAATTCACATCTTGTAAAAACCCATGTGCTGTGTAAGGTTTGAGTCCTCTACCTTGATGCAGACTCAGTCTCCTGGGATTTGGGATTCTGAGGACAACTCTGAACATCCGCAAAGCAGAAACAGAGCCCTTCCAGAACTTAAGTTGTCTCCTTTGGAGTTGAGTCCTGTAGAAGCAAGCTGCCAGTAACTCAGGGTGTGAGGTTGTGAGGGACACTCAGAATGGGTTCTTCAGCAGCTGTGAAGGGTCTTCTCATTTACATCCGCCAGGCCACAGACACAAGAATGAGCAGAAATAACTGAAGCCAAGTCCTTTTGCTGCTGGCAGATATGCAGAGTAAACATTTAGGGCTTTGTTTCCTTGGAAGCAGAAGTGCTAACATCTTAGTGAGAGCCTGGTTTCAAAGTAGGGCTGTCACTGCATTGTGAAGAAGAGCAAGTGTTGTGTAAACTAATATCTGTGTTCACCCCCAGAGCCTTTTGAGGGTCAGGAGGGTCCCAAGAATTTAGTGGATGAGCCGTCATCTCCAAAGTGAGATTTTCTGGACCTTGTCCAACATGTGATCTCCCCCAGCTTCTCCTGTGGTCGGGACACCAGCGGGGGAGGGGACTGGAACTGGTTCCAGTCCTTTGTCAAGATGAAGCCCGGCTTATGTCAGGGAAGTGAAGCTCCTATCAGGAAAGTGACCTGTGAGGTAACAGGTGGTCCTTGGAAGAGCCAGTGCCTTCAGTTGTCTCTCCGACTGAATGGGCCTGAGTAGCACTTACATTATTATCCAAAGGAGATGTTGTTTGATTTTGTTGGAACAAGCTAGAAATGCTTGTTGCTTTTTAGCTGTACCCATCTGTATCCATCGCCTCTCTCTCATCCGATTCTCATCAAACCCTCCACTTCCCATATCCTGAATCCCCTTGAGAAACGACCTGTTGAATGTCTCTTACTGTTTACGTCCTCACGCCAACCTGCTGGACTTCACGGCAAGCATGAAAGAGCAGATGAAATGGTGTCCGGTTGTAAATACTCTAAGAGGCTAGAAGGGCGGTGTAGACTTGGAGGCTCAGTCAGATGACAGGAGGACACCAAAGAGCCAAGTGAGAGGTACACGGGGAGAAGATTTCAGGTGGCCTTTGTCCAGAAAGAGGAAGACACTCGGAATGGACTTGCTGCCCTTCAGTTTTGACCACCCATCCACTAACCAGATGCCCATCGGGCATGTCTTCTGTCTTGCCAGCGGAATAAATCAATGGATAAGACAAACAATAGCAACAACAGAATATCTTCGCTTGTGGCAGGTTTACATTCTAATGGGAGAAATCAGACAAACAAAATAAATTAAGTAGTAGGTTGGAACCTGGAGAAGAAAGAAAACAGAGCAGGCTAAAGAACATCAGGCACGGGTAAGACCGTGCTGCAGTTTGAAACCACTTCTTCCGGGTTCCCACAGAGAGCAGGAAGAGGCAAGGAACTCACCACGGAGGAACAGCGTCTTAGCGGTGGGGCCAGCCAGTGCCAAGGCTCAGAATTCTCTGTGGAAGGCCTCCCATCCCCTACCAGCATGTAAGGGGGCAGTCACAAGATGCTTAACCTTCACTGTCAGCTTGAGTGGATGAGAAGCCCCTGGGAAACACAATTCTGGCTCCATCTGTGAAGACACTTCCAGAAGAGTGACCCCAAGCATATGTGGTATCATCCCATGGTGTGGGTTCTGTACTGAGTGGAAAGGAAGCAAGAGGAAACTAGGCTGAACACCAATGTTGCTTTTTTCAGGCATTTAGTCAGACCAAAAAGATAAATAACTAATACAAAGTCCATATGTAGCTGGAAGAACTTTAGGTAGCCCAAAGAATACCATTCATTTACTGTAGGGATTGGACATGGAAAAGAATCGCGTTATTTCTAACTCGTTTGCCAGTTAGTCATGAGCTGCCTTGGGAAGCGTGTATACCAATCTAGTTTTGTTTTGTTTTCTGAAGGAGTCTTGTTATGGAGCCCAGGCTGGCCTAAACTCTTAATTCTCCTGCCTCTCAAGTACTGTGATTTTAGGTGAGCTCCCCACTACACCAGGTAGACTTCTTTGATGATATCTCATCTTCCTGGTACTTCCCTTTCCTAGATGCTCCAAAACCAAGACAACCTCCATTGCTCAGCAAACAACTGAAAATAAAAATATCAGTACCCAGCAACAAGGCACTGGCCCTCCTCTCAAAGGGCCGGCCAGCCCCAAATTCCCACTCTCATTTTCCTGTGGGTTTTTTCTTACCACTGTCTTCCAGGAAGTAACTTGGTCCGTGCTAAAGATACATCTGAAGGCTTCTATTTGCCCTCTCCAGCTCCTTCCTGTGGCCTGAAACACAGGATCGTGTGTTGGAGGGAGAGAAGCAGCTGGAAGTGCTGAGCACGCTGATAAAGCAAGCGTGTGTTCTTTGCTACCTCCTTGCGCTCTGAGGCCCTGACCGCAGCAGCTTCTCTGCGCTCTGGAGAAAAGCATTGAAGATGAATTGCTTCCTGGGTTAGAACACTTGCTGGGTTGTATCAGTCACCGCTCCTCTTTGACATCTCAGAGTGCCATCCCTTCCGTCAACTGGGCCAAAATAAACTATGCCGGTGTGCCTCCAGGCAAAACTCCTGCCGACTCCTGTAAACACAGGACCTGGGGCCCTGTGCATAACCACAGTGTCTTCTGTTCAGTGTTTGACTCTCAGAACTGAAGAAAGGAAGTGGCATTTGGGTGGAGACTCAGGGATGCCAGAGGCCTGGCTGGTCTGTTCCCTAGGCGGTAGATTACTGGGAAAGGATGGTCTTTGGATCCAAATGCTTAGGTTCAAATCCCATCTCTGCTCTTCACTTTGTAGGTTTGGACAAGCCCCCTAACCTTCCCATTTATCTCAGTATCTAGATGATAGGAATTTACAATCCCTGCCTTGTTATAAGCATGAGGAAACCCAGATGGGGTAACTGGTATGTAATAAATGCTCTAGGACATAAAAGTAATTCATAAAGAACCCAGAAAGGCAAATGCTCTTGTCATTATCCGTCCCACATCATGGGGTAGGGAATGCTGTGTTCAAAGTTCTGAACATGTAATATTTGCAGTCAGCTAGGTTCTTTGACCTTGACTGAGGATTTTCCAGGCCAGTTACCATGGATACATTCCTGAATAAGTGGAGATTATGTATTGTAGAAGCTTTACTCAATATCTCCCCAGCCTTTCAAGGCTAGTTAACACACAAACGTCTTTCTTCTCTTACTAAGATAAGAATAGAGCCTAAAGAAAGGACTAAAAGTCTCATGTTGATCCCTTGGTCTCAACGCTTTCATAACTCAGTTTGCAAAAAAAGAGTGGTTATCGTTCTTTCCACCCTGTGTTTCTGCAAGAGGGGATGGAGTGTAGCTTTGTTCATAGAGTGCTTGCCTTGTATGTACGAAGTCCCTGGTTCAATACCCAGCACTGCTTAAAACTGGCTGTGCAGCCTACATCTCTAATCCCGGCATTCAGGAGGCAGAGGCAGGAGGATCAGAACTTCATGATCGTCTTTGGCTGTCTAGGGAAATTGAGGGCAGCCTGGGAAATATGAGACCTCGTCTTGGGGGGGAGGGAGGGAAGTAATGGGCACACTCCCCCCTCACCTGACTGTTGTGCCCCCTGAGGACAGCCCTTCCAAGCCCTGCACCCTCATGTCATCAATGAAACTCCGTGTGTGCTGAAGACATCTTTCTCGTGTGCTATGTGAGGGTCTTGATTGTGGTATTGTGTTAAGTTTTCTGAAATCACATTCCTGTGATCTTAACAGTGGAAATTCCTTGCTTGATAGTGAATAGGAACCTTGCTGTCTTTACCTCTTGCTCAGGTTTGTCCTGAATGAGCTGGTGCAGACCGAGAAGGATTATGTCAAGGACCTGGGCATTGTGGTGGAGGTAAGCAGATGGCAGCAGGTGTGTGTGTGTGTGTGTGTGTGTGTGTGTGTGTGTGTGTGTGTACAATCTGTGCTTACCTGGTCAGGAGCAAATTGGATCCTACCTGGGCCCAGGTGTCTTAACCTATTGACTGTACATATAGGACTTTAGGGAGCTTTGCAGAAATGAAAATAAAAATAGTAGAATTCAGATAAAACATGGATGTGGATTTTTGTTTTCTTCTTGAAGTATTTTAATGTTTGGGGGAGAGGAGGCACATACCTTTAATCCCAGCATTCAGGAGGCAGAGGCAGGTGGATCTCTGAGTTCTAGGATAGCTTGATCCACAGAGAAAGTTTCAGGACAGCCAGAGCTGTCCAGAGAAACCCTGTCTAAAAAAGGAAGGAAGGAGGGAAGGAAGGAAAGAAGAAAGAAAGGGAAGAAGGAAATATTTTAATGTGTGTAGAGGGAGCTGGGGCCTGGTTGAGTGGGAGAAGCCACCCTAGTGCTGTCTTCAGATCCCCACATGGCGGGCGTGTGGGCTGACACGGATGCTGAGGGATGGGGCTTGGCCCAGGACGCTGTCTGTAAAGTCTTCTGCTGATGTCACCTCTGTTGTGCAGGGCTTCATGAAGAGAATAGAAGAGAAGGGGGTCCCTGAGGACATGCGAGGAAAGGACAAGATGGTGTTTGGAAACATCCACCAGATTTATGACTGGCATAAAGAGTAAGTTCCGTGCCACCGGGAATGGAGCATCTGCCCCCCCCCCCGCCCCCGCCCGCATCGGAAGAGCAGGGTGTTTGATGGGAGCCTCTTGTTTCATTCTGGAGTCACTTGTTTCATTCTGGAGAAGTGGTGTCTGCCCAAGAAGTACAACCTCCTTCTCCTCTTACCTTTTAGTTTTTTCCTGGCTGAACTGGAAAAATGTATCCAAGAGCAAGACAGACTGGCCCAGCTCTTCATTAAACACGTGAGTGTGAGCCTGGCTGTCTCCAGTCTCCCCAGGTGCCAACCCACTCATTCGAAAACTCCTGCTCTCTTCGGTTCTTCCTGGTTTTCTCCCTCTCAGCACTCTGGTTTTGTTTTTTTAACACACTTGGTCATTCCACTGCCCCGTTCTTTCTTGCATGTGACCATTCCTTGTTCTTAACTGCTCTTGACTCGAGGAGGGGGCGGAGGTGAGCAGAAAGCAGGCGCCTGATTGTCACATTTCCCGTCATCCCAGGAGCGGAAGCTGCACATCTATGTGTGGTACTGCCAGAACAAGCCTCGCTCCGAGTACATCGTGGCCGAATACGATGCCTACTTTGAGGTGAGCAACTTCTCATGGGTGAGCCACTCAGATCCGCCACGGCAGCCACATTGAGACACACCCCAGATCCTCCACCCACAGGCGCCCCTGCCACTGGCCTTCATGACAGGAAACCTACCCCCACAGAGCCATTAGCTTCTCAGCGCCATCTGCATAGGCACCTTGGCTTGAAGAAGCGCTGGGTGCCTCTGTGGACACACAGTCGCCAAGCCTTGGTGTACAGAAAGATTCCATCACAGACTATCTCTGAACACTCTTGTCCTTCTCACGTGACCCCTGAGCAGATTGCGGCCACCATCTTCCCCACCTGCCCCTGGGAGAGGACCATGGTGCAACAGTGCTCACTGTGAAAACTCAGGAGCCAAGCAAGGCCTTGGGGCTGTGTGACACCTAGCTCATGAATGGTGGGGTAGGCAGTTGTAGCTGGAAGATTCTCAGGTTTTTCTGGAGAGCTTGAGTCACTCACCCCTTTGAACCTTTGTATTTCAGGAGGTGAAACAAGAAATCAATCAAAGACTGACCCTTAGTGACTTCCTTATCAAGCCCATTCAGAGAATAACCAAGTACCAGTTGCTACTCAAGGTAAGAAGCTGAGCGCCTGTGCCCAGACTGGAGAAGTGTCTCCTCAGACTGGAGCAGTGTGCATAGCGATTGGGAGTACCGCTGCCCTTCAGCCTGGAAAACGGCCGGTTGCTACGTCAGCCTTGCGCCTGAATCTTGCATGGCCCTCGTTTCTGCCCTTAAGGTTGCTTGCTACTTGTTTTTCTTTCTCTAATTTATTGTCTTCCCCACACCTCTCTCCCTTTCTCTTTCTTCTTTCACTTGGGGAACTGAGCCTAGGGCCCCAGCTCTATACATACAGTATCTCCACCTGAGCCCCCTCTCTCCCTTTATTATAGCCATTCACTCAGTGCTTTGAAAACTAAAGTATAAGCCAGGCATGGTGCCGCTCATCTGTCCTCCTAGCATTCAGGACATGAAAGCAAGAAGGTCATGAGCATGTAGCCAGCCTGGGCCGTGGAGGGAGACCCTATCGCAAACAAGCAGCAACAAAACCCTCAAAAATAACAAGAGTATAAGAATGACATAGAGCTGGGCGTTGGAGGCGCACGCCTTTGATCCCAGCACTCAGGAGGCAGAGGCAGGTGGATCTCTATGAGTCTGAGACCAGCCTGGTCTACAGAGGGAGTTCCAGGACAGGCTCCAAAGCGACACAGAGAAACCCTGTCTCAAAAAAATTAAAAAAGAAAGAAAGAAAGAAAGAAATAAAAAGAAAAGAATGAAGAATGAAATAGAAGGGAAGGATTGGCCCTGGAGACCTTCCGTAGTCCCTAAGATCTGATCTTATACTAAACGACTTAGCTTGATGTGTTTTCTTCTGGAAACAGGAGGTCAAGCAGAAGGGAAAAGACTCGACTTTCTCCTGTCTGTCTTGTCTCCGTGCCCTTCTCCTCCCCTTTGTCCCTTCTCCCAGCCTTAGCTGTCGTATTCTGAAGCCTTTCTCGGTGTCAAACATGACTCACGCCATTTCATTTCTCAGCCACTACAAAGCATTGCCACCTCCACCGGGGAGGGAAGTCTGTTGCATTTTTATGATGAGTTTTCTTTTATGGCTCTCTGGCTATGTTACTCTCTGATTCACCCTCCCACGCCCTTCCTTGCCAGGACTTCCTGCGATACAGCGAGAAGGCTGGTTTGGAGTGTTCAGATATCGAGGTAGGTTTCTGCTTATAATGCTCGCTGTTCTTAGGGACTGTCCAGTGTCTCGTCCCCAAAGGGAAAAGATGATCAGAAGGTGCAAGGTTCAAGCCACTCCCCTCTTACTCAGCAACATGAGGCATGGCAAGTGCTACTGAACACTGAGTGTTTCTGAGAATTTCAGAATCCTGTCCAGGGCCAGCCCAGAGCCGAGCCCACTAATGTTTGGGGCTCTTGCTGGATATAGGGAGAAAGGGTGACATTTGACATTGGGTAAAATTGCAGAGATTCATTATGCAACTTTGTCCCTGACTCCAAGTGCCTTTTGACCCTAACACAAATTATTCCATTTCCATCCCCCCAGCACACACTAAGGATTACCTCCTAAGTGGTTCCTTTGTGCCGCCATAGGGATTATTTAAAGCCAAAGAGGTTGCAGCCATTCCTGGCAGGTTATTTTAGGTCAGAACCGCCTGTGTTTTAACAACCAGGCTAAGCTGTTGCTTGGACATTCTGAAAGCAACACAGAAAAGTTTAAAAAAAGCGAGAGGTAGGAAAAGGACGGGCCAGGTGACATGTCCCCCTTGTGTTGTCACTACTGATGTGGAGCCCTTGTGCCAGTACCAGCCTGTCCTATCTAAACCCCACACAGTCCTGAGAGTGAGCAGCAAGGGACCGCACCCTCTCTGAAAACAAAGGGCCTAGGGGAGATAAGTTCCTCCTCCCAGCCCTGAATTTGCGAGTTTCCTACCAAATCCTGTTCCCCATCCTGAGTGATGTGTTCTTTCCCACAGAAAGCGGTGGAGTTAATGTGCCTTGTTCCCAAACGGTGCAATGACATGATGAACCTGGGACGCCTGCAGGGCTTTGAGGTGAGCCCTTCAAAGTGCTACTAAGCCCCCCGTAGACAAGAGCCAGGCCACGGAAGTGAGCCAGGCCACAGAGGTCCTTCCCTTTGAAGCCGTCATGCACCCCGCCACAGCCCCTCCAGTTCACAGATCTGGAAGATGGAGCTATTGCAGAAGTTCAGTGATAAGGCAGGAATACGCTTTTGACCAAACTGGGGGGTCAGAATTCTAAGGGGACTGGGAAGGGACAGAGTTCCTTGGGACTGCTTGAGCCACAGTCTCCTCCCTCCTTCCTCCTGATTAAGAAAGGCAAGGATCTGCGGGATGTGTCATAAGCTAGGAACCCAAGTGGGGAAATGAACTCTTCTTCAGGGGCGGGCCTTTTCTAGAAGTCTGTATCGTGGCTGGATTTTTAGATCAGCGAATGTTTAAGATATCACACCTTTCTGTTCCATGACAAGGGAACAAGTCTTAAGGGAAGCAGATGTCCAAACGACACACCGGTCTGGAAGAGCTACCATAGCAGAACACACTATCCATCAGGTGGCTTAAATGACCGAGGTCTCCTCGCCAGTCTGAGGCCCGGGCACCGTGAGGAAGGGTTTCCTCCCAGTCTCACTCTTTAGTTTGTTGGTAGCATCTTCTGGATCCAGTGGCATTTTCCTGAATCTCGTCGCCTTCCCTCTGGATGTGATATTATGTGTTCGTCCAAATCTCCCCTTTCAAAATCCTATTTCCTAGCAATCCCAGAGTCTAAGGTTGAATTATTCTTTTTTAGATCAAAGGGATTCCTGGAAGTTGAGATAATTAGGAAAGAGGTTCTACCCAGACCAGCCCTGCTAAATTAGCACAGGTTAGCCCAGATAAAGTGCAGCAGGAAGGCCAGCTGTGGTGTCCCTGAAAGTGGGAGAAGCTACAGCCTGGTTTTGGGGTTGTCCTCTAGTCTCCCTTGGACTGTCTCCCTTCTAGTCCATCCTTCATGCCCCGGCCTGATAGGAACCAGGCAGCAGGTTTGCATGGGCTCCCAGCTCTCTAAGGTAGACCTCAGTCAGATGCTAACATCAGTGAGCTACTGAGCTCACATGTGCTCTTGACTTTATTGGTGGTTTCTTGTTATCAGCCTGGAGAGATTTTCTCCTTTTCTTTCACCAAGTCTGGGGCTATTGTAAGCAAATCAAGTTCTTTGCTACCTTTTACTCTTCAACCTAGATAGATGCCCTAGTGTTTTCTGACTAGCTTTCTCTGAGTCCCTTTGGAAAGTGCCCATGGAGTGGAAGGAGGCCATCTGTTTGTGCTGTCTGACCCACGTGTGTGTGTGTGTGTGTGTGTGTGTGTGTGTGTGTACTGTAAAGCTACACACGAGAATGTGAAGTTTTCTCTTTTAAATCAAGCACCATTGTCCTGTATTTTCATCTTTAAGTCTCAGGGAATCTGCTCTGCCTTCCCACAGCTGCTTGGGAAGGACAGTGAGCATGCTCCTCCTCCCTCTTTGGGCCCCTCATTCTCATTGTCTCCCTCTCAGACCTTGTAGTTTTTCCCTTTAGTGCTGACTACCTGAGCCCCAGATTGCGTTCTTGGGTAATGTTAATGGAGAGTGTTGAGCTTTCCTGGCTAGCTGGGCACTGGCTGAATATTAACTTTGGACCGGGTGGAGATAAGCCTGTTCTCCTGCTGACCTTGGCAGTCAGTGTTTCTCAGCAACACAAAGGGAAAAATGACCCCTGTGCCAGGGAATGCTTGGAATATATGGCACCACGTGCAGGGCATGACTGACATTTGCACTAAAGGGCAAAAGTTGTCCCTAAGACAGAGTACATTTCATAGACCCTCTGACCCCTGTCCCAGATGTCAGAGTCTTCTTATTGCAGAGCAATTAAAGAAATACATGATAAAATGGTGGCGCTTTCCGATAGGTTCTGTGAGACCTGCTGGATGGACACATTCCCTTGGAAAATGTCTCTGGGACGCTGATTACAAGCCAGGAAAGCAGACAGGCTTTCCCACCCCAGCTGGGTGGTGTGTGGTTTGATAGCTGGAGTCCTTTTAAGAAGGATCACAAGATCCGGAGAAATATCTCTGGCCTTGTAAAAACTGGAGCTGATCTATTTAGCAAAAACTTCCGAATACCCTTACCTTAAAGAATAGAAGGAGGTGAAAGGGACCCAAGTCATCAGGTTCTTTGAGATCCTGTTTCTAGTACTCTCTTTGGTTACAAATTGGTCCTAGGTTCATAACAATGAGCATACCCCCAAGCCCATGCCACAAAGAAACCAGGCAGAAAGATTCTCAAAGCAGGGAGGGAAGATAGGCTAAGGCCAGCTCCAAACATCACCAATCTTCTCTAATTTAAAAACAAAAGAACAAAAAAGCACCAGGCCAGGTGGTACCTATCTTTAATCCTATCACTCAGGAAACAGGTAGGTAGGTCTCTGAGAGCTCAAGGCTAGCCTAGTCTACCTAGCAAGTTTCAGGCTAGCCAAAGCTACGCAGTGAGATCCTGTCTCAAAAAGGGAGGACAGATAAGGCCATGATCATTCGTTCCTTTGGCATTTGGGGCATTATTTCTTGTTCACTCCATCACCCGAGCCCTTTCCTTTTTGGAACCTTACATGAACAGGGAAATTTCCATAGCGTATCCCAGATGAGTAATTGGATCCCAATCCAGTGTCTGGCTAGGATCCCAAGGCTTTCATGTCAAGTCTATCTCCACATTCCCCAGAGATAGGAAACATGTAGCCCGCGAGAGCTGAACCCATCTCCCTGATTTTCACGGCCTTCCCTGCACCCCTGTCTCTATCAGGGCACCCTAACGGCCCAGGGCAAGCTTCTGCAACAAGACACATTCTATGTGATTGAGCTGGATGCTGGCATGCAGTCCCGGACCAAGGAGAGGCGTGTGTTTCTCTTTGAGCAGATCGTCATCTTCAGTGAACTGCTCCGAAAGGGGTCCCTCACCCCAGGCTACATGTTCAAAAGGAGCATCAAGGTAAAGAGGGACAATGGGGTGCAGAAGGGCAAAGAGCAAAAGAGCATCAGGGGGCTGAAGCTACCTGGTGATCACCATGAGAAGCAATGACAGGCCCAGGTCTAGTCTTCGGCATGATCTTGAAGTATGCCTGGTCATGCCATTCACCCAAAGACAGAAAAAACCTAGACACTTTACTCTTAGATCTACAGTAAGATTTGGAGACCTTTCCTGAGAGTTAAACCTTAAGTCCTCTTGGCTGGAGAAACGTCTTGGCGCTTAAGAGCACTAACTGCTCTTCCAGAGGGGGTGGGTTCAGTGCCCTGCAGCCACGTGGTGGCTCCAGATCCACGGGTTCTGATACCCTCCTCTGATCTTCATAGTCACCCAGCACGAACATGGTGCAGAGATATACATGCAGGCAGAGTGCCTATGTAAATATAAAATGCATGTGAAAACAAAGTGGGAGTTTAGAAAGAGCCGCTTTGAAGGACAGTAGTGGGTCTCTGATTTAGTTTAGCTCCTTGAGTATAAAAAGGATAAACTGGTTTCATTTCAGATGAATTACTTGGTCCTGGAGGAGAATGTCGACAATGACCCCTGCAAGTTTGCACTCATGAACAGGGAGACTTCAGAGAGGGTCATTCTGCAGGCTGCCAACTCGGACATCCAGCAGGCCTGGGTGCAGGACATCAATCAAGTCCTAGAAACACAAAGGGACTTCCTAAATGGTACGTGATAGGCCTGCTTCTAGCAAGGCCATTTCAGGGGGTCCAACCCCTGAGCATCTTTGGGTCTAAGTTCATGGAGACTTAGGAGACTTAGGAGATGGTCTCCAATCTCATAGCTCCAGAGACAACTTCAGAAGCCCCTTAACTTGACGCGTAAATGGAACAAACAGGTAGGAGAAAGGGGTATTTAATCGAAGGGGTATTTGTCAATAGGAAATTGTGTATGTATGCCTTTGTGGTCCCCATGGACAACTGGTAATAATTCGGGGGAAATTATAAAACAAGCAGGCACATCCTGTATCCTAGGGACCTAAGTTCTGTAATTCTTGTTCTCTCTCCTTGTAGTGGGTGGCTGCTCCTTTCATAGGCTCTCCAGGATTATCTACTGATAACTAGGAGTTTGGTAAAACAGTTCAAATCCTTCCTCTTTTCCCAGCAGGTGAGAGCCTGGCTAAGCTACCCATCTAGCTGGCCTTGCCCCTTTCAAAGAAGACGATTGCTAAGCCTAACTCAGTAGTACCCAGCTTCCCACTAGTAATAAACTGGTGGTTACTCAGATAATGTGGACCCTACAGGCATCCGTAAGAGGTGACAGTTCACACCCTTAATCTCTGCACTCGAGAAGCAGTGGCAGGTGGATCTCTGTGAGTTCGAGACCAGCCTGGTCTATAGAAAGAGTTTCAGGACAACCAGGGCTACACAGAAAAACCCTGTCTTAAAACACACACACAGAAACACACGTGCGCACACACAGAAACACACGTGCACACACACACACAAACACACGTGCACACACACAAACACGTGCACACACACACAAACACACGTGCACACACACAGAAACACACGTGCACACACACAAACACACGTGCACACACAGAAACACACGTGCACACACAGAAACGCACGTGCACACACACACAAACACGTGCACAGCACAGAAACACACGTGCACACACACACAAACACACGTGCACACGCGGTGCAGCAGAATTGCTGTCTTGTTTGTGTCTCACTTTTGCCCCTGCTGCAGCTGTGCACCTGCAGCTTTGTATGAGTGGAGATGGACGACCGGGAGGCAGTGCTGCTCTGCTGAGCTGGGCCTGACGCTGACGGCAAAATGGAACCAATAATGCAGTCTCATGAGCATGCACCTGTATATATACAAACATGCATGCATGCATACATAGACACACGGGACATCGCTTTCAGGTGTATCGCCTCTTCTTAGCTGAGCTCTGTACACACAGCCACGTGTCCCCGTACATACGTGTCTGTGCATGCACACAAGTGTCCCAGGTGCCCCATCTCTTCTTGCTAGTGAGTACCAAGGATTGTGGTATATAACCTTTTTGTTCCCATACATACTGAAACATGTATGTGGACATAACACTGGACCACCTTGGTGTGTACTACTTACCTCTGTTGGGATGTACACATGGCCATGCGCACTTGCACAAACACACATATCCTCACGGGCCCTCCCTTGGTCTGTCTCCTTGCTGGTGCAGTTTCTAGACTCTTCTAGGTGATGTGAACATAGCATGTACTGTCTATGTGTATAGTGTGGAAATGGCTGCTGGGGGAAAAGGTAAGAGGCGCCATCCTAGCTGAGGACCTTGGGTGAGACGCGTTGCTTCTCGGTGCCTCACTCAGCTTGTTTTATGAAAAAGAGACTTTGGAGTTAGATTTGTTCTGGCCAAGCTGGGGTGTACAGGTGGATGCCTACCTCAGGACGGATTGGCTACCTACACCACACCTACCCCAGGGCAGCATGGCTACCTATACTACACCTACCTCAAGACAGGCCTACCCACACTACACCTACTGCATGGTCTATTAGCTAATGCATATTTCTAGCTAGCTCTTATATCTCTATTCATCTGTGCATCATCATGTGGTTGTAGCCTACTGGCAAGGTTCCATTTAGCATCTGTCTCCTGTGGCGGCTACATGGTGTCTCCCTGATTCTGCCTTCTTTCCTTCTCTGTCTGCTTGGAATTCCCACCTTACTCTATTTTGCCCTGTCGTAGGCTAAAGCAACTTTATTCATTAACCATAGAAGCAACACATATACAGAAGGACTTCCCACACTATACCTGCTTAGCATGCACTTGTGGGATCTTGAGTTCCAGCCTGAGTATTAAACAAGAGAAAGCTATCAACAAGATCCTTTGACTTCTGTTTTTCAAGACGTGGTTTCTCTGTGTAGCTCTGGCTGTCCTGGAACTCACTATGTAGACCACGCTAGCCTCAAAGATCCGCCTGCCTCTGCTCCCCAGTGCTGGAATTAAAGGTGTGCACCATCATTGCCCGGCTCAAGATCCCATGACTTTTAAAGACAGACATGGACATTCAGTGCTGTCTCTAGCTCACAGACAGTGTTTAGGGGCCATGTTCCCAATGGAAAAGGTGTGGAGCACTAAGAGCTCCCAAGCTGCTTTTTTTTTAATATTTATTTATTATGTATACAATATTCTGTCTGTGTGTTTGCCTGCAGGCCAGAAGAGGGCACCAGACCTCATTACAAATGGTTGTGAGCCACCATGTGGTTGCCGGGAATTGAACTCAGGACCTTTGGAAGAGCAGGCAATGCTCTTAACCACTGAGCCATCTCTCCAGCCCCCAAGCTTCTTTTTTATTCTCAAACATTGACAATTAAACAACCTGGACTAAAACTGAAATCTATATAGCTTATAATTTCCGAATATGCAACTTTGGATGAACACAGCTTGTTGTTAGGGTGATTTAATGTAAAAGATGTGCATATATAAAGTCATCTAAATTGCATTCTATGATGGATTTCTAGTATGGAAGTGGGGATGAGGGTTTTAAGCTAATCACTTCAGACCTAAAGTAAAATAAAAACTAATAAGCTAAAACCAGAGGTAAATTAACAATAGTGATTCCCATGTATTCACACCTTCTCCGCATCAGGAGTTAAACTAAGTGTTCTGTCTGTTTCTTCACCCTTCATCCCCACACCAGCACGACATGGCTGGATTATCACCCTGCCTTTTTTCATATGAGGAAAGACAGACTTGGAGCCATTAAGAAAGTTGTCTAAGCAAAAGCAGTGTGTGTTAGCAGGCAACTTCAGAGCAGGTTCTTCCATATGGTTCCCCGCGTCAGAGCAGAGATTCCTCCCTAGCAGAGAAGGGAGGGGGAACATGGGAAAGGGATAGCCAGGCAGTAAGAACCTAAATCCAAAAGACAAAAGCCCACTGTTAGTAATGCCCACGTTTTGAGCTTCACATGGTGGTACATGTCTGTAATTGCGCCAATCAGAAGGCTGAGGCAGAATCAGTTCTCAGGTGAGAGAGATACTTTCTGATCTCAAGACGTAGTTATTCCAATTAAGGCTAGTGAAAGAATGCAGGCCTAGCCTTCAAAGATTATTGAATAAAACAGCATTTCCCAGTTGCTTGAGTTACTGCTCATAACCAGGTGGCTCCCCAATTCCGTGCCATGGGTAGACTTCTCAACTCTGTAGAGCGCTTACTTAGCAAGAAAGTACTGAAATGTTCCATGATGTACATAAACGTGGAACCACGTTGCTCTCGGCCCAGTCAATGATTCAGATTTTACGTGGTCCCAGTAGACCTTTCTCCTAAATATAGTGAATGATGGGGACATCGCTGAACAAGGTAATCGTTACTTAAATAGTTAATGCCCACAAAATTCTCCCAGGAGCCTTAGGGGCTGTGCTCTGGTAGGCCCACTGTAGATTTCTCTACATTCAAGAAAGGTGATGTAAAAACAGAACAGAACCAGGCTTTTGCTTACAGACACGTGTGCAGGCGTCTCAGCCAATCTTCCCTCCCGAGACCTGATGAGAAAGGGGTATGTGACCCTGTCCAGTCTACTGAAATGCAGGTTGCACCCATCGCTGTGTACAGGGCCGCAGCTGGTAATCCACTTAAACAGTCGTTGCAGTAAACACCAATAAAAATGCCCTAATTGTGCCTGCCCTGAAAGCCCTTCATACAGCGGTTGCCCACGGTGGCCTTTCCTGACTGTTCCTCTTTATTGCTTAGACCTGGAGCCTTGAATCTTACACTCAGTAAAGCGAAGCAGAACTGACCCTTCCCTCCAAGCCAGTGGTTCTCCATCCTCTGAGTTGCCCCCAGTGCCGTTTGCTTGGTCTCTTGCCTGCTGTTTCCATTCTCCCGTGCGTTTCCCAGCTAGGCTCTCTCCTCCTTCCACGTTTGCTTAGCTCCTCTTTGCCTTCGGCCTCCAAGTGGCTCCTGAATGAGGTGGGAAGCCTTCGGCCTACTCCATTTAAATCTGTTTGCTAACTGCTACCAGGTGCGTGTTCCTCAGGTGCACCTCAGCGATGGGACCTGAATGTAAAGCTTTTAAGTTTACTTAATACAGCCACTGTTCATCCTCTTCAGAGGGGCATCTTGCTTCGTTGAGCCCTCCTAGATACCGTGCACCCCATTTCCCTTACCTGCCTTGTCCCCTCCATTTTCACAGAGACCCTACACTCACGTATTCTGAGCACTGCCTCTTGCCAACATTTACACATACTTCTTCCTTCCGGCAGATTTAAATGTCAGAGCAGCAGCCAGTCCCCTTCTGAAGCGCTTTAAATGTGTGCACGCGCACACACACTAGCATAAGGCCTCTGCCTCCCTGTGGGCTTCCTGAAAGTAGAGTAACTCATTCTTCTCCCCCCCCCCCAGCACTACAGTCACCCATTGAGTATCAGCGGAAGGAAAGGGGCACAGCTCTGGTCCGCTCCCAGCCTCCGAGGGTCCCACAAGCCAGCCCCAGACCCTACTCGTCTGTCCCTGTGGGCTCCGAGAAGCCCCCCAAGGGCTCCAGCTACAACCCGCCTCTGCCACCCCTGAAGCTATCTACCTCCAATGGCAGTCCGGGCTTCGACTACCACCAGCCTGGGGACAAGTTTGAAGCTAGCAAGGTAAGCGACAGCTTGTTACTCATCCCCTCACCACCTCGAAGACCTCGGGGTCCCTCAAGGACACGGCCTGTTTTCCTGTCGATTATCTTAGCAGGAGCAATCCATTAAATCTAATTGAACCTCGTTTATTTCTCTTTCTTCCCACGTAATTAACTGAAACCAGTTTCCCCTGGCTGAGGCACGGTGCGTTAAAGGGCAGATAGCATCTAAATGTGGAGGATTCTTGTGACACAGCTCCTGCTTCCATATTAGAAAGAGACAGCCCCGTCTAACAGCCACGCGCACCCGCACCTACAGAAGGAAGCTCACCCTCCATTGGCTGATGTGGCAAGAGGAAGCTGGTCATTGATAAGCACCCAGGGAAGCTAGGCTCCATAGTCCATACTTCAAACGCCACTGAGTGGCCTTCTACCAGAGGCCTAGTCTGCGCAGCTGGCTTCATCCTGAACTGCAGTGGAATAGGAAAGAAATGGGGAAATGCTGGGCTAGAAGTCGGTTGACTTGGTGTCTGCTCCAAGCTCCGAGACTTCACTTACTTTTCAACCTTAGAGAATTTGCCCATCAGACCTGAGTATTCTCCAGAACATCTTAGGCCTTAGGAATCGGAACCCCTACATTTCTTACCCACATGGTCCGATTTCATAGACGCCGTTCTTTTCCCAAATCACTAGTTGATGCCGATTTTATTCAAATGCTTTGTTGATGTGTAAGTTCAGTCCTGTAACGCAGCCACGCCCCCACCTATTTCATCATATCACCTGAAATAATTTTCTGCCCTAGAAAAACCCTGCCCGTGTGAATCAGTTGAAGTCACTTTGGCATTTTGTCAGCCCTATGGAAGATTTTCTGGCTCTCACCATGCCCTAGGAGGCAGCCTGGCCTCCTGGGGAGTTACAGGTCTGTCTAGACACAGCCGCCCGGGCATAGATTCGCATGAAGAGATCACATGGGCAGCTCCTCCTGTGTTAATTCGTACAGTGGCGGGGAGATGTCAGGATTCCCGTTTCACAGGGTAGCCCAGGGCCTTACCTTTGCATTGGACGTAGCTCCATTCTTACTCCTGTGTCAGAGAGGGCCAGGATGAGGAGCACAGGCAAGCCATGCTTCTTCAAAGGATAAAGAGAGCTGGGCACGGTGATGCATGCCTGTGATTCCAGCACTTGGGGAGGCTGAGGTGCAAGGATTACGAGTCCAAGGTCCTGGATTATGTATCAAGTGAGGTCTCAAAAAAGAGGGGGAAAATGTAGCATTCCAGGGTCTATGTTCTTTCTATAGAGGGGGATTGTGACCCCTGACCTGACCTTTGCCCTGACCTCACTCTGCCCAAGTGCCTACTCGTCCCTGTGCTGATAACAGGTTCTTCCTGTCATCAGCAAGAGGATGCCATCAGGAAGGCTGCATGCTAGGAAGGAGCTTCCAGGTTGAATGTGCGTCTAGCTTTCTCCAGGCATAATCCAAAGCCGTTCGCTTGGGTTATAATACTGTATTGCTATCGAAAGGGCTTTCAGAGCATGCTGACGAAAACGGCCTCACTCAGGAGCGTTCTGCTTGCTCTGTATCCTGCCAGCGGGCCATCTGGCCTCTAGCCGTGCCGAAGGGTGCAGAGCAAGCCCGTGTGAACCATCCTTGTGTTTGTTTCCTTCTGCCCCTGTCTCCTAGCAAAACGACCTGGGAGGCTGCAACGGGACCTCATCCATGGCGGTAATCAAAGATTACTATGCCCTGAAAGAGAACGAAATCTGTGTGAGCCAAGGTGAGGTGGTCCAGGTCCTCGCCGTCAACCAGCAGAACATGTGCCTGGTCTACCAGCCTGCCAGCGACCATTCCCCAGCAGCAGAAGGCTGGGTCCCAGGCAGCATCCTGGCACCCCTCACCAAAGCCACAGCAGTGGCAGAAAATAGTGACGGGAACATCAAGTAAGTGCCTCCGTGGCTTCCTGGGAGAGAAGCATGTGCATTAAAAAAAAAAAAAATCAAAACTGAAAGAACCCAAAATGCCAACACAGTAGGGAACCACTGCTGCTTGTCGTGATGACGTCAGTGGGGTCAGGGTGAAAGGAATGGAACAGACCTGCTGCTAGCTCGGGGTGTCTGGATTGCTCTGGGGTCACGGTGGTGGTGGTGATGGTGGTGATGGTGAATTTTCTTTCCCTTTTGTTTATAATTTTCTGTTCATTTTTCCCCTTCTTTTCCCCCTCACTCGTTAAGAAAAGAACCCTACTGAAACCCTAGGTGACAAAAGACATGCCTTCCGTTGCTACATTTGACCCACCACGGGACTCACTGGACTGGACTTCTATTTATATTGTATGAAGTTACTGATATATATATATATATTTTTTGATTGATACCCAAAAACGACCTTAGCACAAATGCCAGGCCTGGACAGGCCAGAGCCTGCTGCTTCTCCCAAAAGAAAGGGGATTTTTTTTTTTTTGGTTGTCCATGGCAATTCCTCTGTACAGATTGTAACTTTTTTATTTTTATTTCTCTCCTCCCCTGTCACTTTAATATATGTTCATGGTAATTTGTAAGATATTTCTTTTCCTTATTTTGATTGCAAAAACCCTTCTGGACACATTCCTGTATAAAGCATTTTGCACTATTTAAAGAAACCCATATGGATAAAGTCAGGTTGTGCAATATGATGAGGAGCCACAATGTTCATCATTGTACCTGTAATGTAAACTAATAATTTTAAATGTACTATTTTAAATATGTAAAATAAATTTTCACCATGAGCATGTTTTAATGAGGTTAAAGACTAGTTGACCCTTTTTCCCCTCATCTCATTATTCTCAGACTTTTGAGTGTGAAAATGATTTTTTTTTCTTTTCTTTTCTTTGTTTTATGGGTTGGTTGACTGTATTGGCAGTTTTTCCCTATATAAAAAGTGCCTTTGTTGCTAAACCTTGGACCCTGCCCTTTCCTCTAAACACCCCCCTCTGGATTTTCTCTGACTTCAGAGAAGGGGAACGATACAAAGTCGGTGAGATCGGAGGGCTCCCAGCAACAGGATGACCTTGAGGTGCTGATGTCCTTGGGTGACTAGTGTAGGCGGTGTTAGCTTTTCCCACAGCTTCCCTGCTTCACACTCAACCGTGGGAAGGTCCAAGGAACTTCCATGAGGTGACAGAGCCCCGGCACGAGCAGAACCACTCTGCTTTGGCCCTTCTCTGTCAGGAAACCAAAGCTACTGATGTCACCTGGCCTCTCCAGGTGACCAGAGAAACCAGAAGTGGCCCCTCGGTGAAATCAGCCCAGCCCGTTTTAGTGTAGAGATGAGCATTTTGGAGACCTTGGAGGGAAAGGCCACAGAGCCCTGACGTGGCAGAATCTCACAGAGGTACCTCTTAAAGGGCAGTGCTCTCGTTACCCAGACACTGAGTCTACCTTCCTCCTCACCTTGGATGTCTTGGTCACAGGTTGAAGGGGCAAAGAGAATAGATAGGTGCACCCACTAGCCACTGGGTTTCTTGCCAGCCAGGGTTTCACAAGGGTTGGTGGCACTGGAGGTGAGCAGCTGACTGAATGTGGTATTGGTGTTTCTCAGCAAAGACCACTCACTCCCCCTTCCCTGGGCCTGCATGACTACAGGGATCAGAACTGGTGATGGTGCCCAGGATAAATGTCACAGACTATGTTCACATCAGTCACTGGGCTTGTGGCCAAGAGATGGATGCTCCCCAAACCATGGTGACGTGTTCTTCTGGGAAGAAGAATTTGAAATTGAACCCCTCCTGCCACTTGCGCTCCTCGGTACACTATTTTTAACATTTATTTCTCACCAAGCACACTGAGGAGCCCAGAGGTGGCAAAAAGCAGGCATAACCCCCACCTGCACACAAAAATAGTATACCTCCTGCCCTGGAATCCTTTCAGTGGGGACGTCCTTGATAACCCTGGGGGTAGGGGTGTGGATTTGGGAATAAAAGACAAGAGACAAAAGTCTGCACTCTAAGAGTGGTGTCCTCTAGGTCTCATCCGTGTCTGATTCACTGGGGTAGAGGATTTGGAGCCAGAGGCTCTGGGAAGTCCTGGAGAGCTTCTGGTCAAGGCTGTGAGATGAGCTCTGGCCTTCAGGAGGACCCCACTTCCCACAGCATGCGAGAACACAATTGCGGGTGCATTTTTCCTCTTCAGGTTAATTGCTGAGGCGGGATGTTAGGCGGCAAATGTTTGTAGAACACCTACATTGGGTTCCTTAGGCTCCTGGTGGCCCTGGAGTACCATGGAGGAGGGGCTTGCTGTTATAGTTTAAAGTATTTTTCTTCTAAATCTGACCCGCCTCTCCCTTGATGAGGTTTTCTCCCTCAAGGCCTGTCTACAGAGCCCCATATTTAACCAGGAAACACCGAGGGGGGAACACAGGACCCAGTCCGTGTAAGAACTAACTTCATGCAAACCCTGTAAGCATGAAACGCAGCTGCTGCTCGGGTCCCTGATGCTGCTTACTTAGGTCGTGGCCTTTGCTGCCCTCGACTCTGACAGATGTGGGATTCCAGGGATCTGCTCTGAGCCTGCCCTCTGTAGCTGTGACCCCAAATCGGGACGATGTGAAAGAGCATTGCTACTGTCACCTCGCTGGGAGCACACACTGGGCTTTGCCCCAGAAGGGAAACTCTGACACCTTTTAGAGGCTGACAGAGCCCTGGAGTCCCAAGTCATAACATAGAGGACACAGGTTGAAACCTTGCCCTGAAGTATCCAGAGGTGGGCGGCAACTTCCTCAGAAACCCTGGTGGTTCCCCAGTGCTTGACTGTACCACGCCCCAGACACAAATAACAACATGGGAACCTCAAAATCATTCTATTGGGTCTTATTTACATATGAGGTATTATGACTTGTTTTTACAGAATGAAATATATTTCCTTTATCTTTCCTATTCTATACCCATTCCACCCTTCCCTATCTACTATGCCCTTCAAAACGCCACCCTGATCCTTGAAGTCTTCATTGGATGATCAAAAATCTCCGAGTTTGGTGACCCGGTACCTATTTTCTCCAAATGCTGCACTTTACCTGGTATGCCTTTCAGGAAGGGTCAGAGTTATCCTCACCTCCAGCTGGAGGTGATGTCAACCCCAGCCACCACATTAGCTGGCATGGAAGGTTCAGGGCCCGAAGCTGGCAGGGGCTTCACCGGAGCATCTCATCTGATAGACAGTGGTGGTGAGCCCGCCCACCACCTCCCTCTGCCCCATCCTGCCATTTTGATTGGTGCATTTTTTGGTATAACAGGAAGTCATGTTCATGGCATACTCTACGCATGAGAAAGCGGGCAGAAGTGGAGAACACGGGTAAAAATGAAGCCACAGGGCCTCGTAAACCCAAGGATATTCTGGGCAACAGAGTCTCTGTTAAAGTGAGTAGGTATTGTGGACCTGGGTCCCTCTCATCCATTCCTTCCCTGAGGCATTATCACAGGCAGTTTGGGTGGGTGGAGACTGGTTACTTATTTATCTACTGCCCGGTGTGGGGACCAAAGGGGAAGTAGTTTAGCAGGATTTTGCATGCAAGATCAATTTGTTCTTTATTTTTTATTTCTCCTGGCACCTTCAATTCAAGTAAGTACCTCTCGTTTCCTTTCCTTTTGTGATTAAGCAAGATGTTTTACCGCAAAAATCATCTTGCATTCTTTTCTTAGAGATGCAAGATGCTTGGCTCATACTAAACGTCTTGAAGCTACCAGTAGCCTAGGATTGGGAACATGTTCAGGTTACAGGCTCACCCTCCAAACCCCTGATCTTGCGAAGGCAGAGGTTTGGGACTTAAGGCTGTCGTGTCCTTAGTAAAGTTTCATTTCTTTTCCCCAGCATCACCTCTGAGCAATGTCCTCATATTCCCGCTGTGCGTGGAAAGAATAGGGAGGCACACTGGTGAAGCCCTAGTTGGTTTGTAAATTATCTGTTACTTTGAACTCACCAACCATGAGTGTGGCAGACCGGGGTTTCTCCCATCTGGGAGCAACGTGGATGTGCTCTCCCTGTTTAACATGACCCCTCTGAAATGCTTTGCCTGGGGACAGTGAAAATCACACACTGACTATGTCCTAAGCGCTTTGCCTTCCCAAGCAAAAGAGCTACAAAACCTATTCTTTACCAGCCTTTTGGGGAAAAGAAAGTGGGAAGCCCGGCTTCACTGGAGAGGCCAGTTTCATTCCAGCACTCCGGCTCCATTCGACACTCCCATTGCTCTTCCTGATGTGATATGCAGGTGTCCACAGTCCCCGCAAAAGCATGCCGCTGCCATGACGACCCACACTCCACCTGAAAAGCCCACGGTTGTTTCTCTGCCCCGTTTCCCATGTCCGTGCTTCTCTGACGTTCTCCTCTCTCCAGCTAGGCGACTGTGTTCTAACTGTGTTCTCTTTCTTCCCCTTCTCCATGCTGCCAACCCAGGAGACGAACAGTTCCGAGGAGTCTGAGTGTGATGATCTTGACCCTAATACTAGTATGGAGGTAGAAGCAGCTATGTTGTCCTATTTCCTACGATGATTGCCTTTTCCCGTGTGCTCGGTGACAGTGGCCTTGCTAGAGTCCAGGATGCTCGTGCTTCTGTAATGTTAGGGGAGTCTCAGGGTGTCCCGTCCAAGCTAAAGCAAAAGAAAAGCTAAATTCACCTCAATTTGGGAAGGAAACTCTACTTTGGTATCTTTTTAAAAACAAAACCTTGTGTTTCTCTCAAATGCTTCCTTAATCCTTTGGGAAGCTTTGGCTTTATGAAGAAAATACCCAGCTTTATTATTTAAAACATAGAATGTGTTTTTTCATAGAAAATGGCCTTAATTGGTATTTGGTTCACAGCTGAAGGGTAAGAGCCACTGGGTGGTTTTGTTTTGTTTTGTTTTTCTTCTTATAGTTTCCTCTATTTTCTTGCCTCTTCCCCTGTCCCCTTTTCTCTTTATCTTGATCTTCTGGGCTCTAGTTCTTCAGTGCTCTAGGTTTTTCTGAGTGACCTGGCTCCTCTTTACTATGTGCACCTGGTTAAGAACAAAAGCAAGAAATGATTAACGCTAAGGCTTCCTTTGCCCACACCCAGGGCCCAGGGCCAGTGGTTATGGTTTCTAAGTGAAGAACCCCACATAGCAGCCTCTCTCCTAGAGTCTTGGTCTGGCGACAGGGAGGCAGAAGCATATGGAAGACCTTTCCCATGCCCCAGGTTTGCATGTATATGGGAGTTGGAACAGCATCCTGCCATCTTGAACCTCCTTTGCCAAGTCTCTACATACGCACAGACCCTGGAGAATCAGCAAGCATGAGCTAGCTTGACTTGCCATGTAGACTTTCAGAGTAGATTGAAATGTCTTTCTCAAAAAGACATTTTAGAATGTCATTTACATGGGATCTATGTCCCCTTCCTAGCAATAGATTGAAAATTACAGAATTCCTCTAATGCAAAATAATTTATAAGTGTGTTTTTGACAGTTTCATAAATGTATATAATGTATTTTTATCACATCTACCCCCTATTACTCCAAACCCTGCCTTCCCAGTAATTCACCTTCCCATGTTTATGGTTTTTGTTTTATTCTTAAGTGCCCAGAGTTAAGCTAGGGTTCCTCGGACGAGCATGGGTGTGTTATTTGCTGGAGCATAGGCACCCTGCCTACCGGTGACTGTACCACTGAAGAAAAAGGACAACCCCACTCCCACTACCGCCAGCAATGACAATAACTCCTCAGGGGGAGGGCCTTATGTGTCACCCCCCCCCTTCCTATAATGTTGTCAGGTCCAGTCTTGTGCAGATAACCACAGCAACGGCCATATCAAGTCCTCTGCCTCTGCCAGATCTTACAAGCATGGCTACAAACAAATATTTAGAAGACACTGTGACAACATGTCCATTTAGCATAACAACAGCAGTAGGTTCCCCTAAACCCTTGATGTGTAGCCAAAACTTTTCACCTACTTAGATAGACTATTATTATTATTATTATTATTATTATTATTATTATTATTGACATAATCCCTAAGAAGCCACCTCCGTATTGTGAAAGCAACAGACAGCCCAAGAGAGACCATGCGGCCTAAGAACAGGTGTGTCAGCTGTGGAGGACGCTGACTGAACTGAACTGAGCTGAGAGGCTAGTGGTAGAAATGGGAGCTCTGCCAGAATAGAACGGTGTCTTGTGGGTGTGGGTTCTGCCACAGAAGCCAAGTCTGGCAGGTGTGGGCCAGTAAAGCACTCCAGTGTGGGAGGAAGTGGTGATGGCATTCACAGCTTAAACATGTCTGAGCAACAGGGGAGCCAGGGGATGCCTGACCCTCTTGGCTCTCATTTCATAGGAGAGTCAGCTACATGCGTGGGTCCCACACGGGCCAATTTTTAGATACAAGTGGCACTTTTATCACCGCGCCTAGATGTTGCTGGCGTATACTGGAGGAGTCAGCTAAATGGAGAGGAAGGCCAGGGGAGGGGAGGGAAGGGGAGGGGAGGATCCAGGTATCTGTGTTCCAGAATGACATTCCCACACTGCAAAAGAAGAGGTGGATACAGAGGGATGTGCTGGTTGTCATCCAGTGAGAAAGTTAATTTGTCTACTCAGATGCTCCGTACCCACTTACATAAGGTGGGTGTGTGTGCGCGTGCACATACACACACGCACACACACACACCTTAGCCCTGCTTGCAAGTTGAACCCATTTTTAAGGTTCTTAATATTCTAAGATGGGTATTCTCTTTGTGGACTGAGTGAGATGGGCCCCTGGGAGGTGCTACTGGCCACCCAAGCAAAGACATCAGGATGTTCTTGGTGGCAGAAGAAAGCCCCAAAGCGTGCCACTACGTGAACACAAAGTTTTTAAAGGCGATAACTGGGGTGCAAAGCTTCCCGTAGGCAGAAAGTTCGGCTAGCCCATCCCCTCAAGGGGGAGTGTGATTGGAGGCTATGAATATGCTGGTGGCCCCAGCAAGTCCAAAGCAGTTGTCCCACAGTCCTTGGCCATCCATGCTCACACTCCCAGGCATCCATGAGTTTCTGAATGGATGGTAGCTGTCATCTCGGATGCTGGCTTAGCCACTTAAGATACAAAGAGCAAGCAGGATCTTGAACCTCAAGCTGCTAAGCATAAGGGGTCTGGAAATGGAACATCATTGCAACAAAGATGGCAGAAGAACGTGGCTGCTAGTGCATGCTGAAGACCGGTTGAATCCAGATGGCTGCACCTCCTCCAAAAAGCCTCTTGCAGCAAAGGTGATAGTTTGGGGCCTCTTTCCAAAGTCCCGCAGGCCCAACCCCACCTTGTCTTTTGGATGTGTATTCTATTCTCGGTGAGCTGAACAGCAGCCCCACCAGTCTATACTCTGCCTCTGTTCCTGGGACCCCGGAACCTGGCACTGTGCACCCATGTGCTTGCTCCAAGCCTGGTCTCCAAATGTGACGTCCCGGCCTGCTGACTTCATCCCGGAGCACACTGTGAACAGACGCCTCTGCCTCCGTGAGAATGACGGCACCAAAGCATCGTCTCACTTCTCTCAAATGGGGAGTGTGTTCCTTTAAGGACAGTTTCCTGGGATCTTTTCACCAGATGCATCCTATCCAAGCATGTATTTGCCTTTTCACAGAACTTTAAGAAGACACAGGCTGACCTTGAGAGCAGTTTAAGAGGAGAGTCAAGCACACCGAATCCACCTGGCCACCTAATGTTCATAGCTTTTCATTCCCCTGTCAGCCAGTGTTTGTAGTAGTCACACACACACACACCAGCACTACAGGCCATACCACAGTCACAGCAAGACTGGCACAAGGTCCCTGCTGTCCCCTCTCAACCTGACTGTCCATCTGGCACCAGACCGCATGGGGAACTACTTTAAAAATGAATGCCTGCAGTTTAGCTTCTCCTTGAACTCCTGGGGAGAAGGGGAAGTGTGCAGAAAGTTACATGCAAAAGAAATCCAAATGAGGATAAAAATGAAATGCTGGGACCTCTTGGGAACAGCTAGCGCTCTCTCTCTCTCTCTCTCTCTCTCACACACACACACACACACACACACACACAACTTAGACTGATGACGGCCGTATCTAGGCTTAGAGCCACATGGCTGCCTGCCAGCTTCTTCAGTCCCATGACCACCCGGTGTCCACAAGTGACACTCCAGGCTAGAGCCAGGACTCAAGTACCCAGGCCCAGCACCTGCCCCCAGTCAGGGCCTGTCTCAAGAAATCTGCACTCTCTCTGACCAGGGCTGTTTCCTTCCGACTCACAGCCTATGCCAGGAGGTCCCACATCCATCCGTAAACCTCTGAAAAGCTGGGGACCTCATCCCTGGGTTTTCACAGCTGCTCGGCCCCACATTGCCCCCCTGCCTGAATCCATCAGTGGGGCTGAAAAGTCTGAACCAATTTCCAGACTCGGGCCTTTATCTCTAAGGATCAGAATCCTCAGCCCAGTTCTTGCATCAAACCCAATTGATTACATGCATTTTAATTTCTTTAATAAAGCTCCATAGCCCTCTTAGCAGAGGTCAGTCTATCCAAGTGAGAAGCTGTGATTCCAGAAAGACCCTCCCCACGCCAGCCACTACAGACTCTGGCCTCTTTCAGCTGCCAGCTGCCAGCTAGGTGGCCTTGGGAGCTCACACGTCCCCTAAGCACTGTGGAGAAGGGCTCTGAAGGTGCCAAACCAAGGCACTTGAAAACAGGAGGCTAATTGGGGAAGATATTTCTATTTAGGGTAAAAACATTTTCAAGAGAGCCCTGGGAAGTTGGAACTAGCCTCTGCTCTCACCCACTCTTTACCGCTTTGCATGGGTGTGTCATGATGAGCATACTTACTGTGGAGTTCAGTGTGGAGCTCGGTGATGGGGAATCCCTTCGCGATGTTGTGCAGCATCCCCACCCTTCATTTCTGGAACTTTCCCATAACCTCAAACATGCTGCGTGCCCACTAAACAACAGCCACTGCCCCACCTCCCCATCTCCCATCTCCCTGGCTCTTTTCCTTTTTAAAACAGGGAGTTGAATTACAAAAAGATTAACCTGGGGCTGCAGAGATGGCCCAGCAATTGATCCAGAGGACCTGGGTTCGATTCCCAGCACCCACATGGTGGCTCACAAAGACTCACAACTCCAGCTCCAGGGGATCTGATGCCCTCTTCTGACCTCTGTGGGCACCAGGCGTGCATGTGGCACACACAGACACATACATACACACATGCAGGCAAACATGTATACATATCAAACAATTTCTAAGCTGTAATTTTCGGTTCAAAAAATGAGCAGCCAGGAGTAGGTGGAGGGCTCAGCCAATAGTGCTCACTGTGCACGCGTGAGGACCAGCATCATAGGAAAAGTGGGGCACAGTCATCCTAGGGGTGAAGAGACAGAGACAAGATAACCCCTGGGTTTGCTGACCAACCGTCAGCATCCATGGAGAATAACTGAGAAGAACTTGCAGTATTGGCCTCTGGCATCCACACACATCTACACAGATGCATGCCTGTGGACATGTGTACACTT